GCATGCGTTTATAAAGAGGAATAATGGCGATCTCGCGAAATGTGTAAATAATAATGAGTAATAATTATAAATTTATAATGATAATTAATTTTTTGATTTTGACAAAATTTATATAAGTGATTTATAAATTAGTATCCAAAATAAGCTTAAATGGGCACCTAATAAGTATATTATGAGTTACAGTAATTTAGAAATAGAAAAATGCTAAATGTATTCACCTTGATTCACATTCACATTCACATTTACATCCCTTTCAGAGTGGCGCCGCCATTTTTAAAATTGTGGGACTAACCCCCTAAGTGAGTAGGATGTGAAAGAGAATGTGAAACAAATGTGTAAGTGTAACATTATTCTTATAAATATATCGATCAAAACTAAAATTTCCAACGTTTTTCTCACATTTACGGCTGCGAAGAAAATCCCATTTGTTTATTAATCTTGGGAGGTTGAGGTGGGGGCAGGGGGAATAATTTCCGGCACATTTTGACAAGTGAACGTGCCCAAAAAATATGTTCATTAGCATGACGTAGGAATAATTTTATATTAGTTTGGTATATTAGAATTCGAACAGTTAATGATATCGAGTACTTTTGATCATATAAAATTAAATAAGTAGCTTATAAATTCTGTCATGACGGCTTTCATCTTTAATTTTATAGGGGAATTTACATAAATGTATAATTTCATGCTTGTCAATTAAAAAATGTCTAATTTTGATAACTTTTACAGAAATGATCAAATTTAGTACTGAATTGTCTATTATACCCTTAATGAAAAATGAAGCATTTTTTTTTTAATTTGTCACGAATTTTGAAAAGAAGAAGTAGATTCAACTATAAGGTATATTAAAATTACGTTCTCGATATTTTAAAAGTTGTTATCGATATTTGAACTTTGTTTATCTTAATACTTTATTTGTCTATAATGAGATTTTATTCCGAACATGAATTTATTGACATTTGAAATGTAGTTCTCGATGTTTAATACATGTGTCAATGAGAAATGTAGTATTTATTATGAGTTAACATGTGTACTTTTGAAATAAG